TCATTGGGTCAGACAGGACAAGGTCACACCCCAGATACTCTACAATCACCAGCTCATCAAGTAAAGGATCAAGAGCAGTAATTAAGTGCCCTCTATCTTATGGTGGGCAACGGTTTGACATGGGCCACCATGTGTCCATTCACTCAACATTAGTCGTTATTGTAATGTGACAAAGATAGTTTCTAAATGGAGCAAGTCTAACCAGTATGACAACTTATCCCAGGAGAGTGAACCCTTGCCACTCATCTCCACAAAATATCTGCTAACAAGAACCACCCATCAGACTGCATGGTGTATATTTCATGAGACTCACTAAAGAATGCCAAATTGTCTGGTGTATTTCATCATGCGAGAAAGGGAGCAAAACATGTTGTCACCACGAGAAATCAGCACCTGCAAAGTATTGCTTTGGGAATTCCTATTGGAGGTTTCTCTATATGGAGTATTGCGGATGGACAACTGCATTCTCAGGAGCCCCAGTATCTGCTGATTTTCTCTACCCCCTGTCATGGAAATATTATAATGGCCAGTTTGAAGGTTGTAACAAAAACCAGCAAACACTCCGCCATCCAAGCACCGGAGTTGCCCATCCTTAATACACTGACACAAGGTTCCCGTACGACGACGATAATAAATAGGCCTACTCATACTCGTCATCATTAACCATCAGCGTAAACCGAGTCCATGAATTGTGGAAGCCTAGTATAGGCTAGGAGGAATACTGTCATTCTATTCCATGAAGAACAGAAGAAAAGGAAACACCTTTCTATTAAGGGGATCAGATAACAGGTCACTCCGAGGTAAAGAAACCTCTGAAGATCTTCCTGTAATTGTCTATCTCTGACTTCACCATTAAAAAAAATATATGATGGAGATATCCAGATGGATGTCATCACTGCTTTGACCTTTTGATGTCACGACAATGGCCACTGCATAAAAAAATCTGATTCAATCTGCAAGTATTAAAAATGGCCTCATATGCTGTCCACTGGCTGGGATTTTACATGGACGTGTTACTCATTTTAAGTTTAAGGGCTTTGAGAGGAGGAAATAATGTGTTACTTTTAGCCTAAACATCTACTTGAATTAAGCCAGTCTATACATTTTAATTATTTGGGAGATGGACAGCGTTATTCATGCTAAAAAATACAAAGCTAATACAGTATGTAAATGAGGCTGGTGTGATTGTGATGTCTCTTTGAGCTGGTTACATTACTATTCAGGTAGCTTAGATCAAAGCTCTACACGACCAATAAGCTTCCACTAGCAGGTGTGTGGATTTTCCTGACCACGACCAGGCTACATTTTATAATGTACTGGATGCAGTGGAAAAGTAATCTGTCAGATGAAATATAGGCCTACAGCACATTGCCTATAGACAACAATACAAATGCTACTCTTTGTGAAATAAGCAATTAATCTGGTGTTAGAGGCCGTTCGTGCACAAGCCTTACAAGCTTTAATTGATTCATGTAGGAACAGAAGGATGCTTATCCTCCCTGGAGGCTAGACTTATGCAAGTGCTACTACAATGGGCAGGGCACCAGAGCAGAGTCACTGATAGGCAGTGGGTGAGCTGAAGAAGGCACTTTAAATTACCCACAAACAAAAAGGCCACTATATTTCCAGCTATATGGCACTTCCTTGTGATTGAATTAGACTACATTTCAATGGGAGATGCACTTTAAGGAAACTATGTGACTGTGCAACTGGTAGACATGTCACTGATGTAGTTTTGCTGCTATTGAAATATGCCTTTACTGGACTTGCTTCTTTCCAACACCAGCATCAGAAGAGTTGGGGCTGCACTCAAATTCCACCCCATCATTAATGCATATTAGTTAACATTGTGCATGGGTGGTTCCTTTCTAATAATGACTACCCTACCGTTAATCCCATGCCAGAAGACAGGCAACTAGTTTCATGAGATACTACAGTATAGGATACTATTTAAAAGTAATTCAAATCTATGTAGTCACTGTTGTGTGTTTATTCTTTACAGTGGTCTTACCTTCTGCTGTCGTCTGGCCATGTCGGTGGGTTGCTTGGCATTAAAAGGGTAGGCAATGCAGCGCATTACAAAGACATAGAGCTGGAGCCTCTTCTTTCGCTCTTCCTCCTCCCTCTGCATCTTTTCCAGATCATCTTTCTCCTTATCGCTGGCCACCGAGGGGCTGGGGCTGGGGCTGGACGGGCGAGCGCTGCTTCCCCTGCTCGAGGGCTGGAGCCCACCAGAACTCTCGGTGGTCCGGCTGGGTGACACCCGTGCGCCCCCGGTCTTTGGTGCCATCACCTCTTTGCGTTCTTCTTCCACCATTTCATCCGCTTCCTCCTCACTGGAAGATGGGTCCAACATGTTGGTGGTCTTGGATGGAGATTATCTAGACAGAGTGAGAAAGCGGAGACTAATGACTCTCAGTGCCACAGGAGGTTTTTCAAGAATATTCAGAGACAGCTGCTATTTGTGTTGCGTTGGCAACGCCGGGGGGGGGGGGGGGGGGGGGGGGTAGAAAAAATACTGATAAACTCGATGTATATCAGGAAATCTCAGTTAAGAGGAATTACGAAAGCGCACGACTGATGTAGAAAGGGAGTAGGCCTAGGCTGGTCAAACTCTGCACAAAAAGCTATTGAATTCGAACGAAAGAAAAATGTAGTTGCTTAGCCTACGAGTTTTCAGCGTTTAACTCTCCACTCACCGCCGGGGATTTGCTAGGATGCTATGAGAAGGGGTGGGGTCAGTTGAAAGATTATAAAGAACGCTTTTCAGTCGCCTGCTAAGCAACGCGCGGATGGGGAAGGTACCGGGAACTGACCATGATTCTGAATAGAAAGTCAAATTATAGCTGGGAGTGGGAGCGCAGTTGATGCGGTTGTCGCGACAACCGATTTACTCAATCCACCTGATGATCTGAGACTCGGAGGCATCTCCATTGTAGATTCTCACCAATTAAGCCTTTTCCCACATCATTATTTATTTATTCCCCATATTCACTTTTATTTCCGCCAAGATCCACTTGTTGCCCTATTCTAAATTTGATGCGTGGAATAGTCAATAGTCAGGCTTGAAGTGCATGATTTAATCGACTATTCATTCCTATATTTTTGTTTATTATAGTGCCTTTGTTGGATTTTAGCCTAGTAAGCCTAATATTGCCTATAGGGCCTATATCCTATGCATCAGAATTGAGCTGCAAAATTAAATCAGTATACTGATGACATATGTGCGTTATAGAAAACACATTTAGCCTACACATCTCCATGGTTGTCATCAATCTTCAATGCTGACAGCATGATACCTTGCCCTGGAGCACCCTTGCCATGCAGGAATGGTCCTCACATAATTCCAATCGAACACAGGATACCCACTGGGCACAAACTGCTTGAATCAACGATGTTTCAACGTAATTGTCAAAACATTGTGAAAAATACATTGGATTTGAAAAAAATAAATCAACATAAACTGTGGTTTTAAGGGTGAAATTTCAACCACAGGATTTTGTCATCATGGTAACCAATTTTCAACATAGAAGAACCTTGTATAAAATATGTTGAATTTGTACCTTTGAAACAACATCAGATCTTCAACATTATATCCACTATCAGAAATAAAACAGTCTGGACAGACAGCACCTCTTACTGGAGGGTTGATCTATCTACAGCTATCCTTCTGGTCTCCCAGCCAGGGTTTTAACAAAGCCCAGCCCTGCTTAGCTTTGATATTTGTCACTGACTACTACCAATGTGCTATTACATGAATTGATAAGATCTCCTAATAACGAAATAGATTCACTGTTGCTATCAAAGTCATTCCAAAGGGTAGGTAAGTCATATATCATCAATGATACTATTTAGTCCTATATAGCATTTGCGAAGTCATCAACAGCTATTGTTTCAATTCAACCCAGGGTTCAACTAAAAATAGACAATACATATAGGCCTAGGGTTTCAAGCTTTGGTTAATTTCAAATGTAATCTTCAAGTTAATCATTAATGTGTTGGTTTCATATCTCCATCTCAACCAAAAAGCAATGTTAAAGAATAGCACTAAATCAAATCAAACTTGATTTAAAGTGCATCTAAAGTTTGATTTTATTTAGTCATATTCTTTAACTTTGGTTGAGATGAAGATGTGAATCCAACATATCAATTATTAATTTGTAGACAAACTGGAATTAAAGCCAGACTAAGTCAGAGGCACAAAATATACATCTCCTTTAAATGTTGGTATTTGGTTGCATTGACAACCAAACACAATTCAATATCACTTTTGCAATACAGTAAATAGCCTATTAACTTGTGGGCAAGTTAACAAATGATATGTTGGATTCACGTCTCCAAGTAAACCAAAAATACAAGTTAAAGAATAGGATTAAGCCAGTGGCTCAGATGAAACTATCCAAGCATTAGCATCACCTTTAAATGTTGATAGTTGGTTGCACTGTCAACACACGAAGTCCCCGCCACATACACGGAGCAAGACACGGTAATTAACTTGTCCAACAGGTCTATATCTGACACATGTTCATCTGCCCAAGATAAGGGACTATCATTTGACCCTACATCACAGGCCAATGACTTTGATACCGTTATAGACTTTCAAAAGTCTTTCCGCAGTTTGAGGTTGACTGAGTTTTTTGGTAATGGGGTTGCTCCCTATGCACCTGCCAATGTTAATCTATTGAACAATATTAGTAACCAGACAGGTAATGGTGCTAATGTTTTCCCCATTGATAACCTGAATGACAATGAACCTGACTTTCGCCCTGAGGACATGACAAGGGAAAATACATATTTTAAGAGGAAAACCACGTTTTTACCACCTAAAATAAATCCCTCTCTTGAAACATATTGCCGCCTAGTTGAGAAAGATGTACATAATCTCCTGGCTAAGAAAAAAGAATACAAGGTATTCCACAATATGTCCAAAGCAGAGAAATAATCTCTTATGGAACTCAAAAATGACTCCAGTATCATTATAAAAACCTGCCGACAAAGGAGGTGCAATAGTGATACTAAATGCAGCAGACTATGAAAAGGAAATTCTGAGACAACTTAGTGATGATGAATTTTACAAAAGACACCGTAAGGACCCTACTAATCAATTCAAGTCTCTGATCCATGATAAATTGTCAACATTTTTGAATGAAGGGGAAATTACAAAGACAGAATATGAGTATATGAAAGTTGACTGCCCAACCACACCTGTCACATGCGCTCTCCCCAAAATTCACAAGAGCATGACACCACCCATATCAGGCAGGCCCATTGTGAGTAGTAACGGATCTCTGACAGAATATCTCTACCTTTGTAGACTATTTTGTGAAACCCTGGGCGATCTCCCTCCCCACGTATACCAGAGACTCTATTGATTTAATTATTATTTTTTAAATCTGTGGACCATATACCTGAGAATTATATTCTGTGTACTTTTAATAATAAATAATAATAATAATAATAATTACTTTTGATGTTACCAGTCTATAAACTAACATCCCCCATCAGGGTGGCCTAGAGGCCCTCAAGTTCTACCTCAATGAACGTCCCCCTAATGCTCTTCCCAGCACCAATTGTATTGTGGACCTGGCTGAACTGGTATTAACCGCCAACAATTTTCTCTTCAGAGGAGGCTTTTTCCTCCAGACCAAAGGGACAGTGATGGGGAGCACTATGGCTCCTAATTATGCTAACCTATATCTAGGAATGTTAGAAAAACAGGTGATGCTGAATCCAGACCTTAACCCTTTTCTCTCCAATATTCTCCTAATTCTGAGATATTTGGATGACATTTTCGTGATCTATACAGGGACCCAGGGGGAACTTTTGGAATTCCATGCTTATCTAAACTCTATGAATGAACACCTTCATTTCACCATTAACTATGACCTATCACCAATCCGTTTTCTTGATGTGATGGTTATTAAGGACAAAACATCCCTCTCTACAGATCTCTATAGGAAACCTACGGACAGGAATACCCTCCTTAGAGGTGACAGCTTTCATCCAAGTCCACTTATTAAAAGTCTCCCTATAAGTCAATTCAGTCGCATCAGAAGAATATGCAGCTCTGATGCTTCTTATCAGAAACAGACCACGGACCTCACACAGAGGTTTAAGGAAAGGGTGTACAAAGACAATTGGATAAAACATGCCAATGATTGTTTTGAAGGACTAACACAGCTGGAAAGCCTTCAACCAAAAGTTAAAGAAAAAGCAGAACATGTCCCCTCATGCTTTACCCAATACTCACCATTGGGGAAGGCATTTAAGGACATTATCAGGAAGCACTAGTACATTATTGATACTGACCCACAATTGAAACCCATTTTTAAATATCCCCCACGTATGATCTTTAAAAGACCCCCAAACCTGAGAGACATTGTGGTTAAATCTGATTAACCACCAGAGAAAAGGGAAACTTTCTTGGACAAGGTTCCGGAGGGTAATTACAAATGTGGCCAATGTGCTCAATGCAGCTTCACGTACAAAAGCAACTAATTTACCCACCTCCGCACAGGACAAATATTTAAGATCAAAGGCCTGATTACTTGCATGTCCACCAATGTTGTTTACATGTTGAAATGTCCTTGTGGTCTGTTTTACATAGGGAAAACCCGCAGAAGCCTTAAGACACGGATTCGTGAGCACCACAGCAATATACGGACAGGTGAGACAAAAAATCTGGTTGCTGTTCATTTTGTAAAAGCTGGACATCCTATTAGTTCTCTGAGATACATTGGAATAGAAATGGTCTAGATGTCACGCAGTGGAGGGGACATTGAGAGGAAACTTCTTCAAAGGGAATCTTTTTGGATCCAGATGCTCAACACACTGTCTCCTCTTGGCCTTAATGAGGAGTTTAACTTGAAACCGTTTTTATAATTTCATTATTGTCCAAATTGTGTGGTAAAAAAAATGTATCTAATTGAACATTGAATGAATATTGTATGTATATTACTGTAAATATTGATTGCATTCCTTGTACAGTGAAGGAAAAAAGTATTTGATCCCCTGCTGATTTTGTACGTTTGCCCACTGACAAGGAAATGATCAGTCTATAATTTTAATGGTAGGTTTATTTGAACAGTGAGAGACAGAATAACAACAAAAAAATCCAGAAAATGTTATAAATTGAATTGCATTTTAATGTGTGAAATAAGTATTTGACCCCTCTGCAAAACATGACTTAGTACTTGGTGGCAAAACCCTTGTTGGCAATCACAGAGGTCAGACGTTTCTTGAAGTTGGCCACCAGGTTTGCACACATCTCAGGAGGGATTTTGTCCCACTCCTCTTTGCAGATCTTCTCCAAGTCATTAAGGTTTCGAGGCTGACGTTTGGCTACACGAACCTTCAGCTCGCTCCACAGATTTTCTATGGGATTAAGGTCTGGATACTGGCTAGGCCACTCCAGGACCTTAATGTGCTTCTTCTTGAGCCACTCCTTTGTTGCCTTGGCCGTGTGTTTTGGGTCATTGTCATGCTGGAATATCCATCCACAACCCATTTTCAATGCCCTGGCTGAGGGAAGGAGGTTCTCACCCAAGATTTGACGGTACATGGCCCGCCCATCGTCCCTTTGATGCAGTGAAGTTGTCCTGTCCCCTTAGCAGAAAAACACCCCCAAAGCATAATGTTTCCACCTCCATGTTTGACGGTGGGGATGGTTTTCTTGGGGTCATAGGCAGCATTCCTCCTCCTCCAAACACGGCGAGTTGAGTTGATGCCAAAGAGCTCCATTTTGATCACTTTCACCCAGTTCTCTTCTGAATCATTCAGATGTTCATTGGCAAACTTCAGACGGGCATGTATATGTGCTTTCTTGAGCAGGGGGACCTTGCGGGCGCTGCAGGATTTCAGTCCTTCACGGCGTAGTGTGTTACCAATTGTTTTCTTGGTGACTATGGTCCCAGTTGCCTTGAGATCATTGACAAGATCTTCCCGTGTAGTTCTGGGCTGATTCCTCACCGTTCTCATGATCATTGCAACTCCACGAGGTGAGATCTTGCATGGAGCCACAGGCCGAGGGAGATTGACAGTTCTTTTGTGTTTCTTCCATTTGTGAATAATCGCACCAACTGTTGTCACCTTCTCACCAAGCTGCTTGGCGATGGTCTTGTAGCCCATTCCAGCCTTGTGTAGGTCTACAATCTTGTCCCTGACATCCTTGGAGAGTTCTTTGGTCTTGGCCATGGTGGAGAGTTTGGAATCTGATTGATTGATTGCTTCTGTGGACAGGTGTCTATTATACAGGTAACAAACTGAGATTAGGAGCACTCCCTTTCAGAGTGTGATCCTACTTTCAACTTGTTACCTATATAAAAGACACCTGGGAGCCAGAAATCTTTCTGATTGAGAGGGGGTCAAATACTTATTTCCCTCATTAAAATGCAAATCAATTTATAACATTTTTGACATGCGTTTTTCTGGATTTTTGTTGTTGTTATTCTGTCTCTCACTGTTCAAATAAACCTACCATTAAAATTATAGACTGATAATTTCTTTGTCAGTGGGCAAACGTACAAAATCCGCAGGGGATCAATTACTTTTTTCCCTCACTGTATATTATGATATATTTTGATACATTGAATGTTAATATTGTGAACCTATGTTATACATTTTTTACCTCCTGTTTCAGGAAGTGATGTCACTGAGTACTGCCCCTATATATAGGAGCTTCCACCCCCACCAGGGATATGGATGCCTGATGAAAACCTAAGGGTCGAAACGTTGTTATAAATAAATATCACCTGGGAGCATGAGCAGCAGTGTGCAGCGGATTTCCTTTCTGTTTTTCATGCATTATCAACCAAACACAATTCAATATGACTTTTGTAATACGTTAAATAGCCTAAAGTTAAGGCTAATTAATGTAACAGTATTTATTGAAACTTAAAAAGAGTAACACATCCATGGCCACATTGAGGTCACTGTAACTAAAATTTGGATGAAAATGTGGATAGAAATACACTAAATTGACAAAAAATATTTTCATATTATCTTTTAGGCATGTCATATTGACCAAAAACGGAGTAGCCCAAATTGATATGATACTTTTAGCATTCAAATGTATTAATTACTTTTTTCAGTATCAAATAAAAATGTATTGGTTGCGTACACAGTTTTGCAGATGTTATCGCAGGTGCAGCAAAATGCTTAAGTTTTTAGCTCCAACATACTACACCGGGTCTGACGCTCGTCGGATGTGGCAGGGTTTGCAGACTATTACGGATTACAAAGGGAAACCCAGCCGTGAGTTACCCAGTGACACAAACCTCCCAGATAAGCTAAATGCCTTCAATGCTCGCAAACAACACTGAGCCAGGCATGAGAGCCCCTACTGTCCCGGACGACTGTGTGAACTCGCTCTCCGTGGCTGATGTAAGAATTTTAAACAGGTTAACCTCTACGGGATCAGTGTCCCGTATACGGGACGGTTGAGCTAACGTGCGCTAATGTGATTAGCATGACTGTTGTAAGTAACAGCAAACTTTCCAGGACATAGACATGTCTTATATGGGCAGAAAGCTTCAATTCTTGTTAATCTAACTGCACTGTCCAATTTACAGTAGCTATTACAGTGAAAAAAGATCAGGCTATTGTTTGAGGAGAGTGCACAACAACAAAAAACGTATCACAGCAACTGGTTTGATACATTCACCTCTGAAGGTAATGTACTTACATTCAATAATCTTGCTCTGATTTGTCATCCTAAGGGTCCCAGAGATAGAATGTAGCATAGTTTTGTTTGATAAAATCCCTTTTTATATTCAAATGTAGGAACTGGGTTCTACAGTTTGAACCCCTGCTGTCTCTGGCTCCACACCCACCCCGCCCAGCCATCTAGATGTGTGAAAGCTAGTGTATAAGCTAACGATCCATCATGTATGACATTCCTGGGAGTGTGTAAACTTACATTTTGTATTACCATATCATTTTTCTATATTCTCTATAGTTATGTACTTGAAAATGTATCAATTGACAAATTAGGCACATTTGCGCAGACTTTATACAAAATAGTCCAGTATTGCAATGCTTCACTGGATCAATCTGAAACTTTTCACACACACTGCTCCCATCTATTGGCAAAAATCTAAATTGCGCCTAAACTGCAATATTATATTGTGGCCTTTATCTTGCATTTCAAAGATGATGGAACAAAACTAAAAATAGAAATATCATGGTACAGCTACAGTGGGGAAAAAAAGTATTTAGTCAGCCACCAATTGTGCAAGTTCTCCCACTTAAAAAGATGAGAGAGGCCTGTAATTTTCATCATAGGTACACGTCAACTATGACAGACAAAATGAGAAAAAAAAATCCAGAAAATCACATTGTAGGATTTTTAATGAATTTATTGGCATATGATGGTGGAAAATAAGTATTTGGTCAATAACAAAAGTTTCTCAATACTTTTGTTATATACCCTTTGTTGGCAATGACACAGGTCAAACGTTTTATGTAAGTCTTCACAAGGTTTTCACACACTGTTGCTGGTATTTTGGCCCATTCCTCCATGCAGATCTCCTCTAGAGCAGTGATGTTTTGGGGCTGTCGCAGGGCAACACAGACTTTCAACTCCCTCCAAAGATTTTCTATGGGGTTGAGATCTGGAGACTGGATAGGCCACTCCAGGACCTTGAAATGCTTCTTACGAAGCCACTCCTTCGTTGCCCGGGCAGTGTGTTTGGGATCATTGTCATGCTGAAAGACCCAGCCACGTTTCATCTTCAATGCCCTAGCTGATGGAAGGAGGTTTTCACTCAAAATCTCACGATACATGGCCCCATTCATTCTTTCCTTTACACGGATCAGTCGTCCTGGTCCCTTTGCAGAAAAACAGCCCCAAAGCATGATGTTTCCACCCCCATGCTTCACAGTAGGTATGGTGTTCTTTGGATTCAACTCAGCATTCTTTGTCCTCCAAACACAACGAGTTGAGTTTTTACCAAAAAGACCATATGACATTCTCCCAATCCTCTTCTGGATCATCCAAATGCACTCTAGCAAACTTCAGACAGGCCTGGACATGTACTGACTTAAGCAGGGGACACGTCTCGCACTGCAGGATTTGAGTCCCTGGCGGCGTAGTGTGTTACTGATGGTAGGCTTTGTTACTTTGGTCCCAGCTCTCTGCAGGTCATTCACTAGGTCCCCCCGTGTGGTTCTGGGATTTTTGCTCACCGTTCTTGTGATCATTTTGACCCCACGGGGTGAGATCTTGCGTGGAGCCCCAGATCGAGGGAAATTATCAGTGGTCTTGTATGTCTTCCATTTCCTAATAATTG